TGGAAGAGACTCACAGACGTTGCCTCCAGTGCGGGCAGGAGCAGGCAGACCTCCTGACCCTGTGCAAGCAAGCCAGGGCACATCTGGAGGCTGCAGACACCCGTGGGCACCAGCCCTGCGATGAGGGAGAGCACTGGGACTCTAGGAATGCGCTATGGTCAGGATCCTGTCTCAAGCAGAGAAGAGGGGATTTGGGGGTGTCCCTGAAACCACTGTGGGAAGAACCTCCAGCGAGTCCTTGCTCCCCTCTTGGTGGGAAGCACCAGGCTGCCCCAGGAGGTCCCGGCGAGGCCAGCGCAGGCGGTGCTCAGCACTCCCAGCTCCCGCTGATGCTTGTCCTTGCTGCTGGCTTTCACTCCAACATATCATTAAACAAATACTGTCAGCAGAGAGCAGTTACCAGCAGGTCTAAACACTTGCATAATGTGCTTCCCCTCTAATGCAATGCCCTCATTTCTAATAGCACCAATATGGGATAATAACAGTAACAATAATGTCAAGAAGGCCTTGTGTACCTGAAAGCTAATTTGTTTTCTCCACCTCATAAAAGGCATTACCTCTCCCGTAAGATTTGCCCCATTTAAAGCCTTCAGCTCTACAACAAAGTTGCTCCCACAGTCATTTTACTTTAATTTACAGTAATTGCAGCAGGCATGGGTCCCCCTCCCACCGCGTGAGACTAACCCTGGGTAACTCGTGCAGGGAGCAGGCAGCCGTACAGAAATTACTCATCCCAAAAACCTGGCCATGTCTGCCCCAGTCTGTCCTCCCCTGAGGCCTGCAGTATCCCCAAATGCAGAGCAAGCGTCCTCTCGGCAGGTTTAGATCAGAAAAAAGGGATGGGTTTTAATGCCAAGGGGGGGATAACGCCTGGAGCAGCTCATCAAAGCCAGTGGCAGGGTCCCTGTTGCTGCCAGTTTTACAGCCGGTAGCAGGGGTGCTTTCCCGCAGAGATGCTTCAGCTCACGCACAACCCATTCAGAGAACTCCCAGCGCCCAGGCTTGGGTTAAACAAGGGCAGCAATCCCCCCTGTCCCGTGCAACACAGCCGGGGAACGGGGCGGGAGCTTGGTGGGGCTGTGCCCAGGGAGCATGGCATGGGACCCTGAACAGATCCGGGGGGGCTGCTTGGGGTCAGGGCTGGCTGGCATCCAACCCCACCCCTCTGAGCAGCTTCTGCTGCCTGAGGAGGATCCTCCCTTACAAACACCATGCTCGACCTTGGTTTTAAGCGGTGACATCACTGCTCGCTCCCCGCCAGCCCCAGATGGGCTCTGGGTACCCTGATGCGAGGGACCTAAGCCTGCAGCATCCCCCGGTCAGAGCTGCCCAGGGGACAGCCCTGCCATCGCTCCCTGGGCAGAGGGACACGGAGCATCGCGGAAGGGAACTGGCTCTAGGGACACCCCAACCATCGGGGCAGGCTGCAGCCAGCAGCACCCTACAGCACGGGAGGGGTGCTGCCACCCGGCAGGACAAGAGAAGGTGGCAGCCACCTCTAGTCCCCAGCCCAGGAACCGTGCGGGCTCTGCTCTCACCCGGCAGCTGCCCCTGAAGGAAGGAAGCACCTGCCCAACCCCTGAAACACCAGCCCGTGGCCACCTCCCCAGCGCAGAGCTGCGAGGGACTAGCGAAACTCCCAGAAAACATTAATTAGCGCGGTACTGGGCGTTTACATCCCCCATTTGTGTGACAAGGAGCCTCTGGCTACAGCAGACCAATCTCTGCTTAAATGACATCGTCGTGGGCTGCTGTTTACGTAGGATCCAGCCTGCACACCCAGGAAGGAAATGCCAGCGCTCTCCTCCCCCTCCTGCCATCTCTCCCCTTCCTGCCTCTGAGTCAGTGTGGCGGGTGACCTGGGACAGCTGTCCCCTTGCTCCGGGCCACCAGTGGCAACAGAGCTGCTGCTCCTTCCCAACGAGGACAACAGCTCATCCCGCCCGTGTCACAGGTTTTGCTGCCACTGAACGTGCGTGTTTTAATGATGAAAACCGAGTTCCTGGGGAGCCGGTTGGGCGAGGGCTGGGAGCAAGGCCGAAGCCCAGCGGGAGGGCTGAGCCTTTTTTATGTTTCAGCCTTTCCACAGCAGCTGCCGGGAACCAGCTTTTACAGCTGCAAGTAACAGAACCTCTCCCAAGGAAAGAAAATAATTGTGGAAGGCTTTTCCCCCCGGCTTCAAGTCACTGCCAGCATCTCAGCGAACTCTCCTCTGTTCTCAGCCACCGCTCACCTTCCCAAGCGCTCCCAGAAATCTCAGATGCCTGCCAACTCTCATTAGGTTCACGCGCAAGGCAAGGCCGAGCGGTAAGACCTCCAGACAGCTGGATGCCGAATTCTGATGAATCCTTTGGGTAGAAAGATTTCAGCAAGTGTGGAACTGTTTTTCTTGGCAGTTGTGCTGGTTTTGGCTGGGACAGAGTTAACTTTCTTCACAGAAGATAACAGGAGGCTGCGTTTTTGATTTGTGCTAAGAAGGTTGATAATACAGTTTAGTATGAGGCTGTTTTGGCTTTGTGCTGAGAACAACAGTGCCAGTACACTCTTGGGCTTAGTTATTGCCAGGCAATGTTTATACTAAGCCAAGGACTTAGGTTTCTCATACTGCACCTGTGCTCCAGAAGCGGGGAGGAGACACAGCCAGGACAGCTGACCCAAACTGGCCAAAGGGCTGTTTGTGCCATAAAACATGCTCCGTGTATATGGGTACAAATTGAAAGCAGGGAGGTTTAGATTAGATATCAGGAAGAAATTCTTCCCAGAGGGTGGTGAGGCACTGGGACAGGTTGCCCAGAGAAGCTGTGGATGCCCCATCCCTGGAAGTGTCCAAGGCCAGGCTGGATGAGGCTTGGAGCAACCTGGGCTAGTGCAAGGTGTCCCTGCCCATGGCAGGGGGGTGGGAACTGGATGATCTTTAAGGTCCCTTCCAACCCAAACCATTCTGTGATTCTATGATAAGTTGGGGGGAGTTGACTGGGGGCTCTCACTGCTCGGGGAGTGGCTGCGCATCGGTCAGCGGGTGGTAAGCGGCTGTATCACTTGGGGTTTTTTCACTGCTGTTTTCCTTTTCACTACCTAGTATTCTAATTAGTAGTAGTATCATTATTGTGTTTCTTTTCAATTATTAAAGTGTTCTTATCTCAACCCACAAATTTTCTTACCTTTTCCTCCAATTCTGCCCCCCATCACACCGGGGGTGGGGGGAGGTGAGCGAATGGCTGCCGGGGTGAGCGAAGGGCTGCGCGGTGCTTAGCTGCTGGCTGGGGTTACACCCCGACGGCGCTCTATTGCAGTCCTTGCACTGGCACACAAGGGAAGGTGGTGCACGGCTGATTATTGGCTGCTGTAACAAAATCCAGGTAGGCACATGACTGAAGGAATTACTGTCTGCATCTTCAAAGAAAAAAAATCACCTCATTTCCTTTAATTATTAAACTACTCTGCACTAAAGCACTGCAGGTCAGTAGAATTTATCTCCAAGAAAAGCAGCTGCTGATTCATAAAACCCCGTTATCGTTATTTCTTCTCTTCTGACATTTCTGTAAATTTGGGCTTTGAGGCAGGAGCAAAGCTGCCATTTCACTCTGATGCGGGAACTGGGAGCTCGGCCGTGGAAGCTCCCACAGCTTCAGAGCCCTCTTTCTTTCCTACGAGCCGCTACCCTGCCATGAGAAAAGCCCCATCTGTCCCGGCCCCAGAGCAGCACCCAGCCCTGCCCCACAAACCACTCAGGGCTGAGAAGAAAAAAACCCTACAGTCCTTCCTTCTCCTTTCAGTCGTGCCCACTGCTGTCTCGATAGCTCTTAACTGAAAAGGCTGTCAAAACTAATCCTGCCTTTAATAATGCTATCAATGAAAGAAAGAAAAAAAGGGGTTTATTGTAGTGCAGATTTTTTACCCCAGACACACTCATCTAAAGTCCAGTTTTCTTTAAGATGAAAAAAAAAAAGTCTCTCCCTTCAGAGATCTGATAACCTAACCCAGACTAAGGCAAGGCTTTTCCATATATACAGTAAAGCAGAGGAGCATTAGCCAAAAGGCAAAACCCCACTTTACTCCACAAACAGAGCAGAGGAATGTCAAGTCTGGGATACGGCAGAAATGTGCAAGACCTGCTAAAACCCAGAGGTTCTTCATATTTGGACGTCCCTGGTACCAATGAGCAAGTGCCGCCTGTTCACCTCTGGTTCGCTATTCTGGACTTCCTGAAGTTCCATTTTAGCTGGGCATTCCTCCTCTTGTGATTCCAACAGAGGCTGCTCCCTCCCAACGGGCAGGCTCAAAAGACAGGAATTGCAAAAAAGGAACAAAGCAGGGAACTTTCACCGCACAAAGAAACAGACACCATATGTGGAACAGCTTCTGAGACAAATTAGGACTCCCGCTAACAGAACCAAATTGCTTCCTATCCCCCTGCTTCAATATACCTTCCAAGAAGAAGGAGCATTGCATTGGTGTTTCTACACAGAAACAGGAAAAAAGCAGTACCTCCGTTTGTGAAGAGTCTGTGGCTGACGTGTCAAGCTGCACTGAAAAAGAGGAGTCCTCCTGCTAAATTCTCTCATTAAATCGCCCAAACACAAATCAGTCCCTTTTAGCCAGTTCTCATTTATTGCTATAAAGCAAAGTCCCCACATTCTTAGGGCCAGATCAGCATTTTCCCAGTTCGTGCTGAAGCAAGCACTCTGCGAGAGAATGAGAAACAGCACCCTAATGAGAGTGTCCGTCCCACATCCCTGAGTCGTTAGCAGACGTCTTCAGGAAGCTGGGCCTTCTCTGCCGCAACAACAGCCTGATACGGAATCCTCTCTGCTCTCCTCTTTCCAGCCCAGGAACTGCAAGGTTCATAATCACACACATTTGCCTTTTCTTGCCCCTTGTACCCGACATTCACTTTCAACACCAACGCTGAGCTATCAGGAACCTAATTACGTCTCTCGGACTTAAAATCGCACCATGATTTTAGCTAACTAGCGAGCTGCTACTCTTTCTTTTCTCCGGCATTGTCTTCACAGTCCAGAGAGCTTCTCCAAAGAGCTTGTTAACACATACAGCAGAGGGATTTCAGTGAAAAGGTACGGGCAGTCCGTGAAAACAGGGAAGCAATCGGCACTTTGAGTCTGTCACGTTGCCCACCAGCCTGGACTATGCTAATCACACCTCTCACCGTGCTGTAACAGCTGTCAGTGCCAGACTGCGTTTAATCACCCTTGTTGCAGCAGCAGCGATCAGAGTTAATCTTTTTCCCTTTAATAACAGCCATTACATCATTCTCCAGCATGGAAACTACGAAGTGGGAAGGTCAGAAAGTTCTTAATTAGGAGGATTTTTATTGCTGTGATAGTTCCGTTCTCGCCTCAAGAAGAGAGATCTGCAGTACAGGCAGCAAGAGCTGGAAGGCATCTTGGATGTATGAAGCACTGTTTGAAGCCTAGGAAAACAAAAATCAAAATACACACATGAATAATCATGCTACCCATCAGCTTTCGTAACCACATTTCAAACAGCATTGATTAATGCACATAAACAGCAGCCTAGCGCTTGCTGGATTTTTAAGACTTCATTCTAGAAATCGATTTAATATTAAGTTTTTGAGGTGCTTTATGCCACTAGGCAAAAAAGCAACTGGCTCAAAACCCACCAAACAAGATCAGATGTTTTTAAGAAGAGATGAGAAGGACTTATTTCCAAGCGAAGGATAAGCACGCCGTGGCAGGAAGGAAGAACACACCGACAGGAGACAGCCGTGTCCTACCACACCTGAGCACCGACTTAACAGCTGGGAAGTGCTGGGACTCTTCATGAGCTCGTCTAAGGTTTGACTTGGGATATTAAGTTCTAGAAATCCACACTGCTGCATTTAGTATGTCTTCTGACTCATCAAAACTGCCAGCTGAGACGACGCAAGGCTGGCTTTTCACTAACTCGCTCCTCCCGCACGCAAATCTAACGATGTTTATTAAACCTTTTAAGTTATTAGATAGGTAAGCAGAATCCTGGACCACGGGTTAGACGACTTGGCATGCCTAAGGATACTGAAATGGAAAAAGCCCCAGCATATCTATTTTTAAAGTATTAGCTAAAAGTTTTAAATTTAGCATAACTGACCTCCAAAAACACTCCAGTGATTAAGGGATTAAGCACATCTGCTTTCTCTTTGACCTGCAGAGATCAGACATGTATTATCCTGATTGAAAATTTGATCACATTTCTTTAAGCAAGATAAAACCAAACCCTCAGTAAGTTTAAAATCACCACAGCTCCCTTGGCTACGGGAAAGCTAAGGACCTGTCACGTGGCATGCAGGTAAGAATGAAGTCACCCACACAGGCCCAGCACACTGGTATGTGAACATGTCACATCGTCAGATGAACTGTGGACAACTGGAGAATTCAGAGACAATGCCACTGTCTTCAACAAAACCCGAGCGTTCTGGGAAATCCACAGCGGGGTCACAAACTTCATTTTCTTCCGCCTCCTTAGCACTCTCAGCCCCAACTCCCACCCGCACCCTGTGCCAGGCTGAATGTAGCAGGAGGGATTCAAACCTCCGCATCCGTTCAGCTGGCTCCGTGCGGGCAACACTGAGCTAGAAGACCAGTTCACGGGGAAAAGGCTGCCTATGGAAATAGGCAGACACAAAACCCACTTTGTGGTGAGGATCCCCAGGCTGTAATCAACTGACCACATCTCGCTCCTAAGAATCTGCGGTGTAACTCTTACCCCTGCAGTCGTTAAGCAGGTAGTGAACTCTTTGGAGAAAGCTGACAGTTCTTTACACAGCATAATCGTCAATCTGGGGAAGAAAAGTGGGAAAACCATGTAGTCTACAAAGAATAACTTTCTTTTAGCATTCCTCTGTAACACAAACACCTTGTTTTCATGTACATAAAGCTAAATTAGACCAAAATTGATATACAACATCTAAACAGTGTATGAAGGTGCAGAATTTCACCAACTAAATTAAGGAGGGGGCGAAAGTGTGAAAATAAATAATTAAGCCTAAGGATCCGAAATGGCATTCCAAGGACAGACACAACAGCTCTAGAAGGAACAGTACTAGCTCGCTTTTTTTACTGAAAAGTGCCATTTTCTGAATTAGAAAGTACTGCATATTTCATACATTTGCCAAGTATCTCCTGACATAAAAGAAAAATCTCCTCATGTCATGCATTATTGGTAAGATAAGTCTACTAATTAGTGCAGTAATTTCACAGCATCACGTACCTAACATACTGAATGATTAACAAAGAGGTAATTAACAATCACTTTTATACAACTGCTTTGTCGTATTTTAAATGTCTATCTGCTAACTAGCACAAGCTTAGGGCCAATATTCTTCTTGGCTGTATGGAAGTTTTTAGGTAGGGTTTCCACCTCCTTATGAAGAAATGTCAGTAAGCTGGAAAAACAGGGAGACCGTTGGATTCTGCTGGAGGGTCGTGATGCCACCCACTGCCACTTCGAACACATCAGCAACATCCAAGAGCCTTGCAGCCCATGGATTTGCGACGTACTACCGGACACTTTTCACTTGGTATTAATTATGTGCTACACATCTACCAAGAGATGAACTCACTGTGAAAGGGACTTGGCTCTGTCTGTGGCCGTCACCTCTTGTTTCTGACCCCGTAGAAACAAAGCTGCAGTTTTGTGAAACGTTTCAATGGAACACGCTGTCAGTTCAGCCAGACTTCTTATGGCAAACGCATGAATATCCTGCAAGAGTTCAAGAGACCCCCCATGCCAGAGCAGCTTTTATTAGTTAAAACAAGTGAATCACACAACATACTATCACTACGCTGCCCTTTCAGACCTCAGAATCTGCATAGAAATACAAACCCCTGAACTCTGGGAATCACAGCTCTAACTTAGCAGCCAGATAAACACTCTGAGGTTCGATATTATCTTCCCTCAGTTACCTCTACTGATCTTTTAGCACCATGGTCCCCATCACTGGATTCTACTTCTTGGTATTCCTCACTCTCTTCTTCTTCTTTAGGAAGACTACTGTTGAATCGTGCTATCCATTCATGAGCAGATGTCCTCACCTGTATGAAGATGTGCCAGAGTATTTAATGACTGGAATAAAGCCCCCCCTCACACCCCAAAACATGGAGTATTGGATCTCTCTAGAGGAAGGAAACAGCTGCAACTCCTGAGCTAGTGAAAAGAACCAGGACAAATGATCCCAGTGCCTTCAGGGCTCTGTAGTTGGCTGCACTGATGTAGCTGACGGCAGCCATTTCTCTAGCACCAGTCCTGGGGTTCACCAGCAATACCAGCACTAACAGAGGCGCTTGAGAAACACGTCTGCAGAATGCTGCTGCCACTTGGTGGATCTGCAGGGTAGTGAAATGAAGGCAAGAAAAGTGATCCTTCCTCATACCAACTGAACATAAACCAGCTGCTTTGTACCAAGAGGTGGGCTTCAGTTCATGACCGTAGGTTGATTTCACCGTAGCAGCTGAAGGTTTACTGCTCCCAGTTATCTTTGCCACCACTTATTACTGCCCAGTGACAGAGCAAAAACCCACTGGTGTCTTCTGACTCAGAGCCAAAGGCATGACAGAACAGGACTTTGCCCCATAAAGTCAAACGCCCATCTCTTTTGTCTACAATTGCCAAAGGATCTAACACATGGCTTGTTTTCATGCATCTGCTATTTTCACAACCAAAGTTGCAGGTGCTGTGAGGAATCTCTCCAGCTTTCAGAAGGTGGGGAATAACTCACCATGAACAGTTTGTCCGGCTTTGAGGAGACACACAACTCTGAAAACAACTCTCTTACTTCTTTTGTGAACTCCTCATCTCCTAAAGGACAGGAAAGGTTAGAGAATCCACACAAAGGACAGATAGCGGAATACGCACTTCAGCGCACAACTAGTTCTGCACAAGTCTCTCAACCGTTTCCTTTACTTCTCTTTGAATCACCATCTCGGGCAAGAATGCATCAAACCTGGCCTTTTTAAATACAGTTTGTAAGGTAAGTTCTGAAAAGGTGGAGACACCAGTGTCAGAAGGTTGCTTTTGCTTGCTCAAGTCTGGTTTGTAGCTAAGTTAATCCCTTTCTTTTTTACAGGCAGCACTTTATAACGCACTAACTGGCGCATCACCTTGGAGAGTCTGAAATATCATTAAAGCCCCTGGTTCTCCTATGATATACGGCAGGGCACACGTTAACAGCAGGGGGAAGGCTGGCAGATCCATCATATGCAAATACAAAAGATACATTAAATATTAAATGATAGCAAGTGCAGGTGTGTAAGCCCTCCCTGATGAGCCGTTTAGGCAAAAGCAATGCAAGAAATTTACATTTAAACCTGCATAATCCTCAAGTATCAGATGGCTCTTGTGTGTGGAGGCACCTCCGAGTCTTTTGGCCTGTGTGGCTAACACTCATTTGAAAAATACATAAAAGGGCTTTTTGCTTCCCCACGGGTTGGACAACTCTATTCGCAGTCTGCCTCACAGCCAGGGAAGCCCAGCACCTCTTTGAATTTTCATCTTGGCTCAAGGTCGCTTGTATGAACTGCCCAGGAGTCACGCAACTCTAATCCTGCTCTGGCAAGAAATCGTTCCTGCTACAGCATTAATGCACAGCAGCTTTCCAGAGATAAAGGGTATTGCTACCTGTCATGCTCCTGGCCACAGACAGCTTTCGGATTAAGCATCCAGCTAAAGAATAACTTAACTTTGGCACCGTGCCCACTGCCAGTGATCAGGGCTGGTTGGTTCTACACAGAAAATTTCATTGAGAACCAGCTTTGCTCCCAGAACTTGGGGCTCTCTTACCCTTCTTTTCTTCCTCTTCATCTTCAAAGAACTCCGGTAAAGAAAATGCTTCTTTGAGTTGTTCCATTTCCTCCTTCAGTGTGTCCAACTCTTCTCCAGAGAGGGCATTTAGAACCGATTTCACCTATTAGGGGCAGCACAGCCAAAGAGAGAACCATAAATCTAACAAGGAAAAGTAAGAGGGTGGAAGATGCAGCACTGGTTTACACTGCATGTGAAAACATGACAGACTGATGTTAACGAGAAAGTGGTATTTTCCTACAGGAGGAAAGTAAGAAAACCCCTATTTGTGAAGCCTCATTAGGTAATAATGGATTCTTAAGGCATTATTCAAATTTCTTTAATTAAAAACCATGAATGACTTCTGCAATTGCATGCTGCTCTGCCCTCCTCCCTGCCCCAAGACAGAGAGGACAATCTCTGCTGTGCTTACCAAGCAGCAAACAAGTGTGTATGAGGAGAGAGTAACTTGTGAGAAGTTGCTGAAGACACAGAGGAACTGAGGTTAGTTGGGTAAAGGGAACGGCTTTAGGAGCTGAGGACAGGACACAACATTCCCAAGGAAAATACCAGATCGTAATGCTGGGGTCAAAGTGAAGTTGTGTAATCAATCATTCTATAGCAAGTTCTGAGCGCTTGATTTTACATGAATATACATATATTCCTCTTTTTTTTTTTTTTTCCTGCTCAGCTGAATTCAAAATAGAAGGCAAATTGCTCAAGGCCATTACCTTTGATTCACTCTCTCTGGAAAGCATCTCTAAGGCCTCCAGATGCGAAAGACCCTGAAACTCATCAAACAGTAACCCATAATGGGCTTTCTTCTCCGTAGCCATGGTAACCTCAGTAGCTGTCTGCTGCTCTTCCTTCTCCTTTGCCTCTCGTAAGACCTGAAAAAGAAAAGCAGAGGACTCAGGTCAGTGCCAGAAGATAGAGAATAAGGGAGGAGAAGGCTTTTGGTTCAATAGTAAAAACGGTTGCTTAATGACAGGGCTGCAAAAGATGGGAAAAGAAATTAGAAAAACCAAGGAGGAGCTGATATGGAACTGCCATACCTGAGATAATGTAGAGTTTCTGTTCATTAGGCCCTTTGTTTTTTTGAATCCAGGGTCCCCCTCAGCTATTACATCCATTGTCTTTTTCCCAATGAATTCCAAGGCATCCAGACCTCCAGTAATAACACTTTTTCCCTAGGAATCAGATTTGGATAGAGACAATGCATAAAACACTGCATAAAATAAGGCTGCACAATTGAAGAAATTGAATTGGGGTTTTTTATCTGCAGTGTCATTGCAGACACTCACATAAAAGCCAAATTGGTCCTTGTCACCCTAAAATTCAACCCTAATCACCACAGAGAGAGTAGAAGGCTATGGAAAGAGCCACAATACACTATCATCCAACAGTTTAACACATCAGACAGCTGCAGCAATCTGATGGGAAATACATTTTTATTCTGTGAACAAGCTGGTTCTCAGCCCATTAAAGTATTTAAGTATTTCATTCTCATCCCTCCGACCAGAAGACACTAGACCAGTGAGTTTTGGTTGCTAACTCTTGTTCAAGCTTTAAAAGCAGAAGCAAGCTTTCCATGTGCAGCTCTTTCAGATTCACGGGCAAATTGACAAGACAGTGGATCACAAAAGCACAGTTTCTAAGGGTAATGGGTTCCTTTGAAGTGCATTTCTCATGGTCACAGGAGCAAGCTGATTTCCAAGCAATTTAGGCTAGTTTCACAGAAGTTTTTGAAGAGGAGAATGGATTTCATCTCTAGACAGTTCTGTGGAAATCAGTGGAAATATTCCAGGAATGAGTCTGACCCTGCATTTACCTGAACACTCTAAAGGAAGGGAGCAGAGACAGCAGAGTACAGTGGTAACATGCTCGGGAATGCACCCACCACACAGACCACCATTAGGGTTTTTTTTTGTTATGTATCAACATTTAATACAGAACTATCAAAAGCCAAGACAACCCACACATTGTCAGTTAGAAGAATGCACAGGATAAAGATCGTCTGAAGGATGAAACAGTTTCTCATCATTCATCCCACAAAAGTCAAAATTAAAAGTTCCCTCTTACGATGTTTCAGATGAAAGGCAAAACCCCCAACACTCTCCTGCATTCCCAACTCACTCACTGTGCTTTGGACAGCAGTAGAGATGGTTGATAAAACTCCAAGAGCCCCAGCAATAGGAAAGGAATTTCCATCATCAACTGCATCTGTGCTGCCAGCACCAGGATTCTCGCTTCCTGCATTAGAAGGCAGACAATTAACTTCCTCACTCCCCAAAAAAGATCCTGTCAGCTGCAGAGTGGAGAAAATTAATAAACACCGAGAGTCAGCCAGGAGCAGGTCTAGAATTGGGATTATTTTCCTACCTAACAGAAGGAAGCAATAAAGTATTATTTTAGCACACATCTCTGCCTCAATATGGAAGATGCAGGGTAAGGGGAGGCTAGTTTAGGGGTGATTATGTTATGAGAAACATTTCTATGCTGTTCTTAGACAGTAAAAACTGACCTCTTGCAGCATCTCTAGTCTCCGAAGAGATTTCAGTAGGACTGGGGATCCCAAGGGTTGTTTCTGCTTTTTCTATGACAGTTGAAATACCTTGACCTAGAGAAGACAGAATTATTACTTTAACCATGAGATACGAGAGAAATCAGGACAGAAACAGGGTTAGGGCTGCATATTGATTTTTATCATTCCAGGTTCCTGTTGTTCAAGACAGTTCACCCAGCACTAAAAGCTGTAACTATCCAGCTTGCTTACCAATGTAACCAACACAGGTTTCATCTCAGCTTTTAAACCAAGTTGTAAATACCAGCTGAATACCAGTTTAAAATACCAGCTGAAAATTATGCAAATACCTTCAAAACTTGCATGTGGGCTGTGCATGTTGCATTAATCTCACTGTACCTTTTGGTACCAGTTTTCCCCCTTACTTGAACAATTCTCTTGACATTTTTCCAACAATTGTTTCTATTACAGAAATCCCCTTTCCTAGAAACAAGCCCAAAAGCACTAGCTTGAGCCATTAAACATGGTTAAAATATTTACCAAGTATCAGAAGAAGCCTTACCTACAGTAGCTACAGTAGCAGACGCAGTTGACAGAAGAGATTTCCCCCAGCTTCCCCAGTACCCCCATCCTGTCTGAACTGCAGCAGGAGAATCTGAGACCTTTAATGAAGGAAACCAGAAGAGAGTGATGCAGGCATCATGGTGAGAAGAGGAACACAAGCAGTTTGTGATGTGTAACTTCTGTGCAGCCTCTTTTTTTCAGATCAACAGCAACGTGAGTTTTCAGAAAAGGAGTGAGGCTCAATTCTTTTGTGCTCGAAGCCATGAAACGTAGAGTCACGTTATTCAGAGTTAGCACAGGAACATACCTTGAGGGTTTCAGCTGCGGGCTTCTCTGTGGCAGCAGGCTGGCTTGGGGGTTTGGGCTCCGGTCTTTTCCGAGTCATAGGCACAGGTTCAAGCTCTCTCTCTCCCTCTTCATTGCTCTCAGGACAGCCAAGTTCCTCTGTTTTCGGTTCGTTTACATCTTTGTAAGATGTTTCTTCTTTCAGATTTTCACCGCTGTCTTTCTCAGACATGACTGCAACATCCACAGAAAGCAAAGCAGATAAAGTAATCACTCCCTTGTACACTCTGACATTAGTTCAATAGCATCACATTTGTGTTTTAAATAATTTAAGACAACAAAGACAGAAATCCCTTCATGTTGCCACGCATACCCGCACAAACAGATGATGTTTTTACGGCAGTGTGTACACCCAGTCACATCCGACCAGAAGAAATGTCACACTTGGAAGTTTAAAGTCCCACAGAAACATGCGGGTTTATCTAACGGGCACGCCCTCTCCGCAGGGGAGAAAAAGTTTGCTAGCTCTGAAAAGCAAATGAAAGGTACAGCAGATCTTGAGGTAATTAAATCCATGACTTGCTTCACCAAAATACAGCAAAAACAAACTGCTTGGGACGGCTGCTTTGAAGGGTGTTGTGTACGAACAGGGGTGGCTGTCAGAGTGCTGGGCAGGCAGCCAGGTAGCGACTGGTTTGCTTCTGTTCTTAGGGCTGGGATTGCCGGGACATTAAACCACTCAGAACCGG